CCAAGAACTGAAAACAGTCCCGATATCCATCAACAAAGCATGGACATACTGGCCAGGCACTGTGGCTCACTCCTGTAATCCCGGCACTTTGGGAGGCCGACGCAGGTGGATCACCTGAGGTTAGGAGTTCGAGACCAGCCTGGCCAACATGGTGAAACCCCATCTCTACTAAAAAACTATAAAAACTAGTCAGGCATAGTGGCATCCCCCTGTAGTCCCAGCTACTTGGGAGGCTGAGGGAGGAGAATTGGTTGAACTGCGGAAGCAGAGATTGCAGTGAGCTGAGATCATGCCACTGTACTCTAGCCCAGGCAACAGAGCAAGACGTTGTCTCAAAACAAGACAAAACAAAAAACAAAAATAGCGTGGACGTACCAGCTGTGGCATATTCAGACATCGGGGTACTACCCAGCAATGAAAAGGAACAAAATTCCTAGAGACGTGATCACCTGGATGAATCTCAAAAATATGTTGAGTAAAGGAAGCTAGGCACAAAAGAGTATATATTGTATTACTACATTTAAATTAAACAACAGGCAAAGGTAATTTATGATGATAGAAACTGGAACAACAGTTACTCTGGGAAGGAGTATTAACGTAAAAAAAAAGCATGAGGGAATATTTAGGGGTCATGGAAATGTTTTGTATCAGACTTGGGGAAATCTTTTCTATCAGGAGCAAAAGTATTAGTATTTTCGGCTTTCAAGGACATACAGTCTCTGTTATAACTACTTAAGTTTACCACTGTAGCATGAAATCAGCCATGGATAAAACATAAACAAATGGGTATGGCTATGTTCTATTAAAATTTTTATAGCTGAGTTCAGTGGCTCATGCCTGTAATCCCAGGACTTTGGGAGGCCAAGGCAGGTGGATCACTTGAGCTCAGGAGTTCGACAGCAGCCTGGACAACATGGTGAGACTCTATTTTTTAAAACATTATTAATAAAATAAAAATTAAAACAATATTCTTTGTAGACACAAAGAATATAATAATAATATAATAATTTGTCACCAATTATATAAAATTTGAATTTCATATAATTTTAATGGGTCACAAAACATTATTGTTCTCGTTTCTCCCTCATATATTAAAAAATGTAAAAACCACTCTTGAAAGGCTGTAGCAAATTGGGCAGTGGAACAGACTTGGCCTGTGGCTGTAGTTTGCTGACCCCTGTTCATATCTTGAAGGGGTGTAGGTTATTCAGATGTATGTAATTCATAAGCTGATAAAAATGTTAAGATCTATGCATTTCTCTGGATATAAATTATTCCTCAACAGAAAAAGTCTAAAATACCCAGAGGCAGGAGCTTAGCACTGACACTCTGGGATGACTTCATTAATTGTCACATGTGCTTTGCATTAACAGAAATAGCATAAGACATTTAGATTTCCACATAAAACACGAGTTATTCTTGTGCTATTTAAGGGAAGCAGATTTAGGCAAAAATATTGTGCTCTAATTGTTTTGAAATTGAGAAATCAAGGTCAAGCATATTCCAAATTTTCTGTTGCCAACTTTCTTAAGGCGTTTGGGAACTTCTGATGTCCTCTGGAGCTACGGTTGACACAGCAGGTTAGTGTCAGGATTTGACTGGAATGTATATGCTGGAGCTTGGATAATTTTTACTAACCAGTGGAAGTGATTTCTGGCAATACTCAGTGGCCAAAATATATTCTTTGGCAGTTTCAATATCCTGATGCTCAGTCCTCCATCTGTCTTGACTTCAGTGTATCATCCTTTGACCTTACTGCATGGTCTTCCAAGTTGAAATTCTTTTTGGCTTGTTTCTAGAATGCACCTCTCACCTGGTTCTCTTGCTGCTTCTAAAAGATTTCTTGGTCTTTTCAGCGCCCATTGCTGGTCCCTACATGAATGCCCTCCTCACCCTCCCTGAGTTCTGACATCCATGTCAGACCACTCTCCTACACAGACACTCTCCTCCCCCTCCTCAGGCTTTGTTACTCATGCCAGGCCTTCTCATGTAAACAGTCTCTTTACTCTGTTTGGGCTCCAGCATACCACAACAGGCTGTCCCCATCCATGGATGCCCTCCTCACCTCACTTGGACTCTAGATACCCCAGGCTGGGTTAACCTTTTGTGTGTCTACCCTTCTCACCCCACTTGGGCTGTGACTCCCTATACCCAGCTATTACTCCTTACTCTTTAGAGCTCTAACATCCCATGGCAGACAGCCTATCCTTATTAACACCTATCTTGCTCTGCCCCTCCTAATGGCCTCAAGACTGAAATGTTCAAAGAGGAAAGGAAAGAGAAAAAAGAAGTAGAGAGGAGGGAATTTAAAAATATTTTATTGGCTTTTAAAATATGTAGCATTTTGATCTACCTGGAACTTATTTTTGTGAATGTTGGTGTAGGAATCTTTGTCATAGTTATATTATATACATATATATATACACACACGTATATATATATATATATATATTTTTTTTTTTTTTTTTTTTGAGACAGGGTCTTGCTATCCAGGTTGGAGTGCAGTGGTGTGATCTCAGCTCACTGCAACCTCTACTTCCTGAGTTTAAGGTTCAAGTGATTCTTCTGTCTCAGCCTCCCGAGTAGCTGGGATTACTGGTGTGCACACTACATTCAGCTAATTTTTATACTTTTAGTAGTGATGGTGTCTCACCATGTTAGCTAGGCAGGTCTCAAACTCCAGACTTGAAGTGATCTGCCACCTCAGCCTCCCACTGCGCCTGGCTTATATATACATTTTTAATGGATAATCAATAGACCTCAAAGCATGTATTGCATAGTTTATTCTTTACACCCACTAGAAATATTATGTCAATCACAAACTAATTTTTAATATATATTGTATCTGTTTCTTTGTATCTTAATTACTTATATATTTATGTGTTGATGTTTTTATTTGTTGTTTTATTAGATGAGAAATGGCATATTTATCAGATCATCTAAGGAGATAGAAATTTTTGTCTTTATATATGTCAGCAAAGTCTAATTTTCTTCATATAGGTTGTGTTCATGTATTAATTTTTAGGTATTATGTGTTTTATTATCATTAATGGTTTCTATTTTTCTACTGTATGTTCTAATTGATGCTTGCTAAGGAATAGGAATTCTTTTGATTTTCGTTTGTTGATCTTTTACTGCATTATCTTTTTGACTCTTGTTTTAATTCTAATAATTTGTCACTGATGTTTTTGAGTTATCTACAAATGTTTTGGGCTTTTTCTTCCATTTCAATGTTTACATTGCATTATTTTTCTTGTCTTATTACGTTAGCAATTAACCTCTATTGTAACTTGAATAGTAGTGACAGCATTGGGCATCCTTATCTTGCTCCTGACTTTAATGGGAATTTTTCTAAAATTTTACAATTAAGTACGATGCTTAAGTATATTTCTGGTAGATGCCCTTTACAAAGTTATAAAAGTTTTCTTCCCTTTATAATTTGCTAAGAGTTTTTATAATGAATGAAAATGAAATATAAAATTTTTGGTGTATCTATTGAGATAATCATATGTATTTTCTCCTTTGTTATGTAGTAGATTCCATTAATGAGATTTAAAAATTAAATCTTAAAAGTAACATATGAGTATATTTACCTTATAAAATGAGACAATTACAGGGAGTGGGGAGATTGAGGAGATGTTGGTCAAAGGACACAAAATTTCAGTTAGGAAGAATAAGTTCAAATAATCTAATGTACATCATGGTGACTATAGTTAATGTCAATATATTGTATATTTGAAAATTGCTAAGAGTAGATTTTAAGTGTTCTCACCACACAAAAAAAGATAAGTATGTGAGGTAATGCATATGTAAAATAATTTGATTTAGCCATTCCGCAATGTATATCTATACCAAAACATCATATTGTACACCATATACAGTTTTACCTGTCAATGAAAAATAAGGTGAAAAATCTGAAAAAAAGTACAAAAACAATGTGCTTATAAAAAATGAGAATTACAAATAATGTGTTTGTCTTTGACTAACACCCCTAATTCTAGTGTGCACCCCCTAATCCCAGTAACCATTACTGTAACGTTGAATAACCATATTTAACAGAACATATTTGCTGTTGTTTTTGTATGTGTATTTTGAAATAGTACCAAATGCAAACTTTTCATTCATAATGTATTTTGGTAACTATTTTTATTGGATCATCTAGCTGCTTTTACTCCTTTACAAATCCTCTACATCTTTCCAATATATGCATTACATTCCATTTATTATTAATAATTTTATTTATTCCTTCTCCAACTGAAGTACATTTAGATTATTTGCAGATGTTTTCTTGTTCATATGTGTGTGGGTGCTTTTCTATGGTGCATAACTTATATTCCCAGGTTTTTAGAAAGTTTAAAAACATTTTAAAAAATTATGAGTCATATTGAATATAAGTGTGCACTTATAATATTCTTAGTTTTCTATGTAACTTAAAAATACTCTCAAGATCACAAGTGTTCAATGTGACTGCATGCTCTATTTAGCCTTGACTAAGGTGAACACATGATTTTTCTTTTAACCTGTCATGGTGAATTTGAGTAATTTTCTAATCTTGAAGTATCTTTGTATTCATGTAACACTAATTAATCATAGCAGTTACCTAAAAGATATGCTGCTGGATTTAATTTACTGGCATTTTATAAAAGAATTTCCCATCTATGTTCCTAACTATAACTGAACCATAGTTTTTCTTTCTTATACTCTCCCAGTTCAGAATTTGTAAAATGGTTTGGGACTTTTATAAAATGCATTGGATATCTTTCCATCTTTTCTAAGATCAGTAGAATTTTTCCCTTGAGTTGTTTTTCAGATTAATATTTAATTACATTATCTAAGTTCTCCATACCTTCTCTTGTATTTTAAATTTGAGTTGCATACTTCTGAGCTATTTGTCTTCTATTCTGATAACAAATTGTCAAATTTGTAAAATTTCTCATCGTTCATAGCATTAGCTTAGGATAGGCCATGTTTTTAGATTCATAATAGTTCAGGAGACCATATTGTCTTCATGGACTTTATCCTTTAATATGAAATCCTTTCTCTTTTGATACTTTTAATTATATTAATATTGCTATATTGCTTTCATTTGGCTACCATTCGATTAAATATTTTAGCCCAGTATTTTCAAGCTTCCTGTGTTGTAAGAGTTTGCTTACGGCCAATTTATACTGGATTTTCCTTTTAATCCCAATTGTCTGTTTAAACTTGAGTGAAATTAACCCATTTATATTTATTGTAAATACTGATGTTTGGACTTACTTTTCACATTAAAAACATTTTTACCATATGTTCCAGTTTCTTTTGCTTATCTCGTTCCCATTCTGCCTTCCGTTCAGCCGGATAAGTTTTTTTTTCATTTAGCAGCTCCCTTCCTTTAAATGGTCTGCAGATTATAAATCCAATTCAATTCTTGTGTTATTAACTTTAAAAACTTAAAAGTCAGATTCAGAATATGTATATTGAAAATTAACATCCAGAGTTAATTTGCATCTATAATCCCTTGTATGTTTCCAAACATTCTCTGATTATCCGTTTTCACACTTACAAAATGGAGGCATGAGTTCTTCTTAAGGATTAAATGTGATGTAATGTCAAACACCAGCCTTTATGAACATGTCTTTAATTTCTTTATTCCATTTCTTTTTCAATCAATCAAAATACTTAAGGTCCAGGGCACACAATCACCTCTTAACTGCTTTGTCCTTCAAAGTCACCTTCTCTTTCATCTCTTGCATCATTCATTATGGCCTTCAACTACTTTAAATTTCTTTGCAAGTCTCTGAATACCTTCTCAATCCCCCTTTAGAGAAAAAAAATCCCATTATACATGTATGCAAAGGTCTCTTTTGCTCTAAATTTAATGAACGTCATTATCCAGTAACTCCACGACTTTCTTCATTTATCCTTCAAAATGGCGGACTTCAGACGTTCCACGATCAGCACCACGTGCGCCTGCGCCTCCCGCAGCCATTTCGCCCAGCAGCCTAACCTCTGCGAGGCGCCTGCGCACGAGCCTCCAGCGCACTGTCGCTCCTCCCTCTAGCTGAGTACGCCTGAAACCGCACGTTCTCTTCCCTTCCCTCCCCCGCTGACTCTGCACCGCCCTCACCCTTTCCTGTGAGATTCTTCCGCGAAGTGGAAGGCTCATCTTCGGTAGACAGCCCACGCACTTGAAGAACAATCCAATAGGCACTTATAGCTCAGGATCTCGCCGTTCAGTCTTATCTATGTGCCACGGCAATTTTCCTCTAGGTCCCAAAGTTGATGACCGATTTCGCGGGACTTTTTTTTGCATACCGTGAGGCAACAAATGGAAAGAATGGGTCTGTGGCGGAGGGATCACTGGCTTATTCTCTGTGTACTTTAACCTAATGGGGGTCGCCCGGGAGTCGGAAGGGGGAGGGGGAAAGGGAGGAGGCAGCCAAGGAATTGTTTTTTTCTCTGGCCCCGCCCTCGCCCGGTCGGCCAATGGTGATGATCTGTTTCCCCCGGAGCCTCGCCCAGATCTTGTGTCTCAGCCAATGAGCGGCGGAAGCGGCTCCGAGGGGGCGGGTCCGGGAGGCTGTGCGTGTCTTGTGAGAGCTCTTGAACCAAGTCAGTGCTGGAGTCGCCTGGGCGGCTGGAAACGGCGGCTGCCGCTGGTGACTCAGGGAGGCGGGAGGCGGGGTAAGAGCGCCGCGGCCTCGGCTGCGGGGAGAGGGGGAAGAAAGGTGAAAGCGCTGAGCGCGCGGCCCCGCCGCCCGTTGGCAGCGGCGCAGGCCGGGGGAGACAGGCGCCCGGGGGTCGGGGGCCGGGGAGCTGGGCGCCGGGGCTGGGCGGCGGGGCAAGTGCGGAATCGCGGGCTCGCCCTCCCTCCCCCGCGGGGCCGCCCGGGGCGGGGACCCAGCCGCCAGGGACCGGCGCTGTGCACCGGGGGCCTTTTCTTTTAGGGGCTGAGGGCTGAACACTTTCAAATCCACTCGAGCCGCAGATAATTCTTCTCTCACTCTCTCTGCGTTTGCGTTTGAGCTGTTAGAGAAGCCAAACTTGGGAGAGCGAGGGTCACGCGGCGCTGGGGCCCGGGTGTGTGGCAGGGGAGGGCGCCGGGGAGCGGGAAGGTGCGGGAGGGGGGCTTGGTACGGGTCCGCCCGGGGCCGCGTCCTCGCGCGGGTTCGGCGCCCTCCGCCCGTCCTCCCTGCTGTCTCCGCCCGGCCCCCTCCCACTGGCGGCCCCCGTCGCATTTTGTTTTTGTGTTTTTGCAGGGAGGAGCCCTTCCTGCAGGCGTGGAAACCATGGTGCTCACGCTCGGAGAAAGTTGGCCGGTATTGGTGGGGAAGCGATTTCTCAGTCTGTCCGCAGCAGACGGCAGCGACGGCAGCCACGACAGCTGGGACGTGGAGCGCGTCGCCGAGTGGCCCTGGCTCTCCGGGACCATTCGAGCTGTCTCCCACACCGACGTTACCAAGAAAGATCTGAAGGTACAGGCGGCTCCGGGCCTCTGCCGCCGGACGTTTCGCAGTTACCTTGGTAACGCGACCATGGGTTCCCTCCTTCCGTTTTCTGAAAACCGAGACCAGAAAGTTGGCATATGATCTGAAGGTGCAGGAAGCTAGACCTTGAAAGTCTTTGGAATGGTGGTGTAGAGCCGAGTTGTGTTTGGCCCACAGCTCCTGGCTGCCTGGCTTTAATAATGGGCTTAGGGTTGTTCAGACACGCTTCATTAATGCCGGTGCTGTGTCCCACTAGGACTGTCTCATCTTTACTCCAAAGGAGGAGGAGTATTTTTGTTAGCGTTAGGTTGGGCCTGTAGGTGACGTTTGGGGTCATTAAGAATTGAGAGTTAGTGTTTAGAAGTACTTTCAGCTGGTTTTGTTTGTTTGTTCCTGTTAATTTATTCACTCAACTTTTAAAAAACTTCCATACTTGTTAAAAACGAAGTGAGTGTAGAGGGAGGAGCTTAAGTTCTGTTTGGTGTATTAGGGTGGGTGTTTGTCCGTATGTGGTGGGTCAGGGCAGGAGTGGGTTCCTGGTTGTCTGTGATGAGCCTGTGGGTGGGTGTGGGATATGACCGTATATGGAGGGATGGGGTGGAGCTGTCCCATATATGGTATATTGGAGGACTGGCTTAGAAATACTGCACTTGGACGCATGAGGGGAGGGAGAGAATTGGGAACAAGTGCGGCCAGTGAGTTTTTTTTTTTAATCATAATGACACTCAGAACCTTTTTCTGTTAGATCTTTTCAAAGACAGATGAATTCTGATTGTACTACCTAATAGAAGTATTGGTGTGAAAGGATTGTCTGGGAACAACCAGTGAGGAAGCCATTGTACCAACAAAGACTCCTTTGTGCAAAAATAACTGAAAAAAGGTTCCTAACAAAGACTCCAAAGTGGTGATAACTTGAAAGAATCTTGTCAGAACAGAAGATATTTCCACCCTGCGTAGTGGATATGTTTCAAAATCTTCACTTGGCCATCATCTTTGCTTTTTCTTAAACTATGCTCAAATAAAGGAAGCAAGTTTTAGCATTGGCAGTTGATTTTATGTTGATTTCTGAAACGCTGTTCATTTGAACACTTTCAGGGGGACAGTGTATGCCCAAACTGGTATTTATCTGCAAAGAGTTGTAGGAAAGGGGTATGTTGTTAAGCATGTTTTAAAGCTTCAATGTTGTGCCTTCTCTCATGTTGAAAAGGAGGAGTGACCAAAGAGCATTTAACCATGTGCCAAGCACTTCACAACTATGATCTCCTTTAATCCTTATGGTAGTTCTTGGGGGTAGATACTAATATTGCCCCCATTTTATGGATGAAACTACTGTGCCTGAGGGACATTAAGCATCTTGCCAAGGACACATAACTAGGAATTGACATAGCCTGTATTCTGTCTAACCCAGGAAGTTTTACTCCAGAAGCTGCCCTCTTAACCGTCAGGCCAGTGATCAAGAGCCACAACAGAGCTCCTGTCATATGCTGTGAGGTTTGGTTTTTTCCTCCATTCCGCTCATTTTTCTGCCAAATCAGTTTTTGATGTTTATAGAGATAATATATTGTGGTACAAGAATGGCTAACCTTTTTGCTTTGGACTTATAACCTTTCTATAAGATGGGCTTTGTGTACTAGATTTCAGTCGTGTTTGTTGTGGTTTATTTCACCTGCCAAATCAAATTTTCTCTAGTGCATTTGTTTTTATGTGATTTGAATGGAAACAAGATTTTATTTAAACTTTACAGTCTTTAGTTCTTTGGCAGATGTTGAGAGACTAGGCGTTCCCTTCTCTTCTCTGACAGTGACCAAGGACCTGTTGGGTTAGGCAGGCAATCTAGGAGGAACTTTACATGTATATATTTTTAAATCTCCTCTCTCCACCCCCGACCTTCATTTTCAGAATGAGGAAAGATTTAGGAAAAGGAATCGTCTCCAGATTTGCATAATTAACTACTAAGGGAGGCTGCGAATCCAGATTTGGCCGAGTGTCTTCTCCACTGCACTTCGGTGCCTAACCTGAAGACACCTGGGAGTTCATGTCAAAAACAATTTTGGCTAGGTTGAATTTTTGCCTTACTTTGTACACATCACAACTCACCCCTCATGTAAGATGCCAATCTACTGTCTCTTTTCTAGTCATGATTTATCACTGCATTTCTTAGTTGAGTAGCAGATATTAAGTTTGGGGGCTAAGTTGCCTTTAACAAAAAATAGGATTTTATTTTACCTTGATTTTAGAGTTCAGGGGTCTTGTTGCCCAGGCTGGTCTGGAACTCCTGGGTTCAAAACACCGAAACCAATTTGTGCTTGGTGAGATACAGGCAGGAACCAAGTAACTAAGAACATGCTTGCACTAGGGTTTAGGGGCTTTACGTTTTGGCGGGGGTGGGATGGGGGTGGGGCGAGGAGCTGAGATTAATGTCAATAAATAACATTCAAGGAATATGTAACCATTCTTCTATTATTAGGACCAATACACGTCTGTCTAGACTGGCTTGCTTAGATAGCTAGGCATGATATTAATGAGGCCAAGGCTTGTTAATTTTGTTTCATCTGGAGAGACTTTGTAACAGAATCACTTATTTAGATGACAAAAAGATAATATGTCTAGTAGTTGGTTACATAGAAGTTAAGGTGAAGACATAATAACAGTAGATAACTATGATTAAGTGGTTACATCAGGATTTAGCAAAGAAAAAATAATCATTAAATGATTATTATGTGGCGATTACTTCATTTAATCCTTACAGATATCCTAGATGGTAAACTACATTTTTAGTGTCAAAAACTGAGGCGTAAAGAAGTTAAATAACTTGTCCAAGTTTGTCTCCAGACCTTGGACACTGGGCTTTAATATTCAGGTAGAGCGAGGTTAGAGCATTTTAGTTTGCTAGCCTCTATATCCCTAGCACCTAGAACACTGCTTGGCATGTAGTGTGTGCTCAACTATTTGAATGGATAAATGAAGGAATCGTAAAATTATTACCTCTCCTGTGGAGCAACAGTTCAGAAAGAATCTACTGATGAGGCAGTAGCATTCTCTTCATCTGGAATGACAACAGATCTTAATTAGATGTGGCTATAAAGACCACTTTAATCTTATTTTTATTTTGCTCTTTCTACTTGAGTATGAAATGAGTTGCTTCCTAGCTGATTTTGTTCACATAATTATGCATGCTGGGAATGCCCTGCTTCTTTAACTTGTCCTTTTCTTCCTTGAAGCCTAGCTTTTCCTTGAGTCTAATGCCCCTTCTTAGTCCTTAGGGGTGTCCTTAGCAGGTAAGTAGTCCTTGCCATCTGTATGTACTATTTCCTGCTATTGTCAGCAGTTGGGTTACTTGACTAATGCCTAGCCTTTCATTTTTGCACACCATTGGAACTTTAATGTTAGTGCAGTCTGCTGCCAGTCAAGCCACATAAAATGAAAAAACTAGCACAGTATAAAAACTGCCCCTTTTAATTGAATGCTGGACCTTGGGATTTTAGACAAACATTTTATTTAGGCATAAGAAGACATAAGTGGAAGCACAAGGAATTAATTTCTTTGTGGGATAGTGAATTAAGTAGTATTCTGCATTGTACAGGGCACAAAATAGACGTGTAATTAAAAATTTCTTGTCTAAAAACCGTATCATTCTGTGCTCCTATTTTTAAACTTGGAAACATTTTCCTTGGTCTTTCTGATGGCTTTTATAATTATATAGTCAGGTGAGACGAGAGTATGGTAAGAGTGGGAGATTTTGATATTAGTTTATTAGATATCATTATATATCAGAGATTTTCTGTTGGGGAAATACTAGCTTGAAAAATCTGAAATACCGAGCATTTGGTCAAGGTGTTTCATAGGTACTAATAAGGTACACATTTGCAAAATACCATATTAAAAGGAGCAGATTTCAAAA